GGGGCAGGTGTCCTGAGATGAGCCTTCCCCGTGCTCTATACAGGTACCTTGAATCTGTACCTTGCATCTGCATGGGGAGGGGTGTGGGAGAGTACCTCTATAACAACTACTGCATTATAATTGCTGGTTTCCTTGTCTGTTTTCGCCACTAGATCAGCCCCGTTATTCTCACTGCCTGGGACACAATAGAAAATGCTTGACTGAATTTTTAAATATAAATGTGAAAACTCCACAGCCATCTGCTGAACTGTGGCTAAGGCAGCCTCAACCAGACAAGCCCTCGCCCAGCCCAGGTGAGGGGAGGGAGGCGGAGGCCGGAGGTCAGGAACTGCAGAAACAAGCAGGGGTGAGGCGGGTGTCCTGCGATTAGAGCACCCACCCTACGAAAGGGAGACCAGCTCCTTACCTTACATGGCTGTGAGGGATTAGACTACAGTTCTTATTCTGCTCATTAAATGAAAAGCAGCTGAACAGATGTCAGCCACTAATACTCAAGATGATGGAGAAACAAGTAGCCTATCCAACACCGGAGGACACCAGGTCCACATGGGAAACATGGCTGGACCACAGGCTGCTGCCCAGCCAGGCCTTTCTGAAGCTTCCATTTTCAAAAGAAGATTTTCCCACAGTGGGGCTTATCCTCTTCTGTCTGCCTAAATGTTACCATATTAAAACGTGGCTAACATTCAAGTAAGTGAGCTGGCACACTCTGCGTCCATGGCGACCGCACGTGACCGCCAGAGGCACAGTGCCGGGAAGGACAGCAGCAGGAGACACAATCCTCACAGACCACCCACAGATGGATGAGTGAGATGAGTGTGTACAAAGCCCGTCAGACAACACGCTCCTCTCCTTTCCCTGTGCCTACTCCTCCTCACACCACAGCCCAAGGCCTGAGGCCCTACCCAGACTCCCTCCGGCCCATGCGTCTCCTGGGTCGGTGTTCTAAGGGGCACACTGGGGTGGGGAGGGCAGGGATTGCACCCCCGGGCACAGCTTTGCTCTCAGTTCATCTGTGGTCAGACTCCTTTCTCTCCGGGCCCAGATCCAGGGACATGGGTATCTCAAGGCAAATTTCTGCAGCTTTTTCAAAAAAAACCTTGCATCTGCATGGGGAGGGGGTGCAGGAGAGTACCTGTAAGAACCATTTCATGTTTAACACACACCCCCAAAGCCACGAGGGTCCCAGAGCAGGAAGGCAGGTCCTGCCAGGCACACAGCCCAGGAGAGAGGGCCTGGAGGATGGGATGCTGAGCACGGTGTCTACGGCTACATCCTGTTCCGGCGACAGCCCCCTCCCTACCCCCCCGCCCCGCCCCCCCGTCAATCATCAGTGCAGTCTATTTTCCGCATCTTGTTCCCACCCTTCTCTGCACTTCTCCTGGTGCTGTTAGCACCTTCCAGTCGCACTGACATCATCCATTATTCCAAAGCCCAGCTCCCTCCACTCCTGGGATCAGCAGACGGCTTCTCACCAGCAACACGAGGCCAGCTCGCCACCCTCCCGCCCCCCTCTCCCTCACACCATTTCCAGTGTGTTTCTCGAGCCTCTCCCTTCTGAGGCTGTCACAGCCTGGAAATGGGTTTAAGGTGAAGGCAGGCGAGGAGGGGGAAGGAGAGAGTCATTCTTGCCACCCTACTGCCCTCTCCTGGAATCCAGAGCAAGTGACAGTCAACAATGAGCCTGGGCAGACCTGAAGGAGCCCTCTTCGAGGGCGGCCTGAGACGCCTGAACGTGAAGAGGTGGCACCTCGGAGAGCTATGGTCTAGAAACTTGGACAACAGCTGTTTTCAGAGGGCGTGGTCCACACAGAGGCAGCCTTGTCAACTTCTTCAACACGCCCTTTCCCCACTCATCCCCGCCACTGCCCTGCCCACCAGGAAACGCCTCGGTCCTGCCTGCCTGCCGGCAGAGCACAGGAATCCAACACCCCCGTGGCAAACAGGACCGTACCTACTGAGACGCTGGAGACAAGGGTGGAAAGTGTTCAACACCTCCCACTCCAGACACTGCCCCACCACACGCTGCCTGTTTACATTAAAGAGGTTAGACGGAATATGAGTAAAAGCGTCCACTCACTCAAAACAGCATATCATCATCAGATGGAAAGCTCTTGGAAATCCAGGATGTGTCAAAGAAAACCCACCCCGCCCCCTTTTCTGACACTTGTAAAGTAAAAATGATAAAGCGAAACTTAACTAGCTCAAAGTTCATGACGATGGACCCACTTGGGGATCTTCCATCCACCTGCTGACAGCGGAGACCAAGCGTCCCCTCTCCCCAGGCCATGGGACAGCCCCGGGAAGAAAGCACAGCACAGCCTGCCAGGCCCCCTGACCCACGTAGCCCGCTCACTCCCTCACCGCTCCATTCCCTCCGCTGTTCAGCAAAACCTGCCCGTGCCCTTCCTGTGGTCCAGGCAGGGGGCAGGCCCTGACACACAAATGGGCGTAGGGTGGGCTCTCCACTCTCAATCTGCTCCGTCTCGTAGAGACCGTCCTTTCTCCCAAAGCCACCCCCTTCCGACTCACATCCTCCTCCCAGGCTCAGACCCTGAGCTGCTGATTCCACCGTCATTACAAGGTCTTAATGGTCAACAAGAGGAACAAAGTTGTCATTTGAGGAAGCAAACAGACTGAAGGCTTGGGATTTAATGCAAGCAGACCAGGCCCTATTTGGAAGGAAGAGTTTAAACACAGACACAGATCAGGTTGATGAAAAAAACGGGGCACTCAGAAAAAATGTCACATTTGGAAAAAAGTGTCAAAGTCACAATCCAAACGCATGTGATTATGCAGAGCCAACAACACAGACCGTTCTAGAGCAGCGGTCGCCAACTGGTGGTCCGCAGACCACCGGTGGTCCATGAGGTCCGAAAGGTTGGCGACCGCTGTTCTAGAGACAGCCTAACTGTAAGAGGGTCGCTGTGGCTCTAGCAGGATCACCTGTGAAGACCCTCCCGTGACTCAGGGCCTGTCAGCCAACACCGCAACCTCCGCCCGCCGAGGCATCAGCCCTGGCTCTGAGGGCGGCCGAGGACCGAGGCGTAAGAGTCAGAACTAACAGGGCCATGCTGAGGGAGAAGGACATAATATTAAGAGGTCATAAGAAAACAAATTCAAATCTGCGGCACAAGCACTGTTGTTTAGCGGTCAGTTTTGTGGTCATTCTAACGAAATGCGATGACCTGTTTCATTTTAAAGCGTTTAAAGAATTTAGAAGAATTTGGCATGTCAGGCTTGGGGAAGCGTAACTAAGCTTGGAATCAGTAACTAAATGTTTGGGGAAATCTGAGCGGCTGACCTCATGATTTACTAGTTGTGTGACTACTGTGGGAATATATTGAAATGCTAATTGTTAAAAATGAATGCACACCAAAATGCATAGAGTATCTTGTTCCTTTTCAAGTACAAAAGTGCATTGGAATTTTGGGGTGTTACAACAATATGGTAAGTTTGGGGTTTTGTTTGTTTGTTTTTATAAGGAACATCCTGGTGGCAGTGAAGGCCAGACCAGGGAGACAGGTGAGAGCAATAGGACTGTTGGGGGCAGGATTTCCAGAAACTACTCCCAACCATATTCTGCATTTCCCAGGCCTTGTGCTCAAGATGTTTGCCTGTCTAACATATCCTCACATTCTCCCCGTTCCAACACTCACCCACTTCTGAAGACCCAGGCCAACTGTCCTCTCTTCCACCAAGTTCTCCCGACCTCTAGACCAGTAATTCCTTCCCTCAGGACTCCTGCAAGCCTGTGCCAAGTTCATGTACATGCTGCCCTGCTCAGAGCTTCCTACATCCTCATTTCCTCACCACTGACTGATCACTTACTGAACGCCAAGAGCCTAATCCTTTCTCTCTCTCCACTGCAAACTCCTTGAGGCCAGCCCGACCCAGACCTTAGTAACACCTGTATCTCCACAGGGCCTCGCACAGTGGCCTGTTACCCAGCCAGCATGCCACCAGTGTGCGGGAGCTGGGTGAGGTCACACCTGTGCAGTGGCATATACAGATCAGTATCCCACCAGTGTGCGGAAGCTGAGTGAGTCACACTTGTTCAGAGTGGCCTGCAACACCAGTCAGCATCCCACCAGTGTGCAGAAGCTGGGTGAGTCACACCTGTGTACAGTGGCCCGTAACACCAGTCAGCATCCACCAGTGTGCAGAAGCTGGGTGAGTCACACCTGTGTACAGTGGCCCGTAACACCAGTCAGCATCCACCAGTGTGCAGAAGCTGGGTGAGTCACACCTGTGTACAGTGGCCCGTAACACCAGCATCCCACCAGTGTGCAGAAGCTGGGTGAATTACACCTGTTTGAAACCTCTGATGGCTGCCAACGCCTGCCATTCAATCCAAACTTCGGAGCTGGCACACGGTCCTCCGCAGTCCAGCCCAGCCCACCCACAGCGCTGTCTCAGTCCTCTCCCACATACGTCCTGTATCCTCTCTTCCTCAAACGCACCCCACACCCCTGCCCCTGCTGTGCAGTGCCCTGCACCTGGACTTCTCCCACCACTCACCCTGCTTGTCTAGCCCTGCCTATTGTTCTCGATTCCCCTCAGAGGTCAGTTTCTCAGTAGCTCTCCTGGTCCATCCAAATGGATGAGACTGCTACGCTCCCTCCCGGGCCTCTGTTACTTCCTGGCAGTCTCACTGCATTCTACTCTGCACTCCAGCCCTTTAGGTCTCTCTTTTATGAGACTATAAGCTCTTGTAGGGCAGGAATCACATCTAGTTTAGGCATTTTATGACCTACACACCTAGCAAAGTACCTTATTTTGTAGAAACGTGCAATAAATGGTGGTTATTTGGTAAATGAATAAATAGATGAATTCCTTTCCCCTCTTGTGCTTCCCCAAGCCCCAGAAATGCTATCTGGACAGGAGTGGGACAAACGGTTCTCTTTCCTAATACACATTCCACAGGGAGAAAGGCGCACGCCGCAAGGAAGGACACGCCAGGCTAAGCAACATCTGCTGCGGAGGCCTTAGGACCTTACCTCATACTCGAAGTTGCCTCCCAGGACCCCAATGTCCAGGTGCAGATTCTTAAGAAGCTCACTTGAGCTGCGGACACTCTGAAACAAAAACGATTATGAGTGGTTGGCTGGAGGAAACTGGACAGCTCAAGGGAGGGTCGGGCTCTCTGTGGGTTACATGTTCTCAACCGGACCTAAGAGGTATACAGACCAGGCCAGGAGGGAAGCTGTGGGCCACAACATCATTTGTACTTATTTTCAAAGTCATGCAGAGGTTAGCAAAAGGTGATAACCGCCCAAGTGTTCGTCAACAGATGAATGGATGCACAAAATGGGGTCTAATCCTACAAGGAGGATAATTCAGCCATAAAGAGGAACGAAGTTCTAACACATGCTTCAGTGTGGAGGAACCGTAGGAGCACTATGCCACACAAAAGAAGCCATCCATTAAAGGACAACGCTGTATGATTACACTTACAGGAAACGTACAGAATAGGCAAAGTCAGGGACAGGAAGGAGATGAGAGGCTGCCAGGGGCCGGGAGAGGCAAGGATGGGGAGTTATCGCTCAGGGCAGAGTGTCTGTATGGGATTATGGACAAGGTCTGGAAATGGACAGTGGTGACAACTGCACAACACTGTAAAAGTAATTAAGGCCGTGCTCGCTTCGGCAGCACATATACTAAAATTGGAACGATACAGAGAAGATTAGCATGGCCCCTGCGCAATGATGACACGCAAATTCGTGAAGCATTCCATATTTTTCACTCATTTATGGATAACTAAGACCATTATACACTGATGAACAAATATGCATACGAGCATAACCAATGGACACAAGACAATGGGGGGCATGGGAGGCTAGGGGAAGGTCAAGGGGGAAAAAAAAAAGGAGACATATATAATACTCTTTGTAATACTTTAAGCAATAAAACAATTAAAAATAAAAGTAATTAAGGCCACCTAATTGTATACTTAAAATAGTTAAAATGGTAACTTTCATGTTATATATATTTTACCACAACAAAAACTTTTCCAAAAAAGAAAAATAGCACCGAGGGTCCTCGGGCCAGGAGGAGGATGCGTCATTACCTGGTTATCACTCTCCGCCTCCTCCTCGCTGGTCTCCTCCCCTAAAGCCAAGAGGCCGAGAGCATTCTTGTCCTCATGGATGGAGCCCAAGAGACCTTGCATATGAGTAGAAGTCCTGAGACCCTGCAAAGGCTCCAAAAGAGAGAAAGAAAGTCAAGGGGCTCACAAGGAAGACCTTCAGGTGACCTTCAGAATGCTCTCCCCGCTCTTTCGGTTTACATTTCCTCCATGGGAGCCGGCCACATCCACAAAGCTGACCCTGGTACCTGCGGTGCACACTGACCCCTCCTTCCCGGCGGCCACAGCCCCGGCTGCAGGACTGCAGACACTAGGGCGTAGGGCCGTGCCAGGGAGAGCCCACTTTCAGCAGCACATAGGTGTGACGCGCCTTCCCAACTGGACTACGAGCTTTGAAGACTCGGCCCCTGCCCTCTGTTTCTCATCTGTGGGCCACATAATTCCGAGCATGGTACAAGGAGGCCCACAGTCACTCAATACACTTAACATATGAAAAGCACTTACCAGCGTGAGTTCTCCAAGCTGACCAGACTCCATGGAGCTCCCCAAGGTCACATTGTGAGAGGCACGAAGAGCAGAGAGCGGGCCATCCACGAGGCCTCGTAAGGGAGCCAGGCCCCCAAGGGGAACGTGGACTGGGGCTAGAGAGGAGCCCAGGGCCTGGTCAACAGAAAACATCTTGTTATAAACCTAAGAAACCAGGTGGCTCTGTGAGGTGCAGACAGATACAAAAACGGAACATCTACATCCTGTCGCTCAAATTCAAACCACCTCCCTCCAGGGGCTGCTCATGAAACAGCCTCCAGAATCACTGCCCTACCAGCCTGAGAAACCACAGCTGGTGCCCCGACCGCATGCCCCTGCTGCTGCCTCGCAGCACACAGGCCCTTGCACTGGCGGAGGCTGCAGGGCTGTGTCCTTCCAGGAGCCACAGGAAGGGCAGGGAGGGGAGCAGAGCCGGAGCTCATCTACCAGAATGAGAAGTCTCTACAGATCAAGTGTGAACTGACGGACAGGGGAAAGGCAGTGCAAGCACATTGCTGACATATATGAAGTCAACACCAAAGCGAGCAGGTGCTCGGTGAGGGGCACCCCCGAGAACTGCTGTCAGAATTCTGTCAGATGCCTCTGGTGCTATCCGACTGTGTAATAGGGGCATGTCTGCCTTAAATATTAACTCGAACAATAAGCGTGAGCAACAGAAGAGGGGCTCCCTTCCCCTGCACTGAGGAGGAAAGCGGCTGGTGGAGGCCCTCCAGAAGCCTGCTCCTCCCTGCTCTCCGACGGCTCCACGCCAGCAAGGGCGGGAGAGCCAGGCCAGCACCCGGAGCCTGAGACCTGGGCTACCCCCACACTCCTGGTCCTCAGTTTACCCCTCGGAAAGAGAGAGATGTGTCCTATCACTGCAAGTCTGTGGAGAAGTTCAAATGAGGTCATGAATGCAAAGAGCACATGCAGGTGGTCCCGGGTAGGGGCTCACATCACACTAGTCTGGGCTTAGAAGCAGAGGCAAGGGTAGCGTCTGGGAACAAATTTACAAAGAGCTCTCTAAAATCACTTCACACACTTAAAATGTATAAAACAACCAAAATTCCATTTCTCTCCCACCCCACTGGGACTGGAGAGAGAAAGGGAACCGGAGAGGGTGAGAGTTAGAACATGCAGACAGCCCACTCCTCGCCCAGAGCCTGGGCCAAGCGGCCGACCCCAGGCGGGCTCTGCACAGCACCCCCTCCTGCAGGGGAAGGGCATCGATGTCCACCTGAAAGGTGACACGGAACCCCTCCCGGCCCTTTGCAGATTCCCGAACACCTGGCCCAGAGTGGGGTGTCCGTCAGGCAGGAAAAGAGGTGATGCTGGTAACACTGGCCAGCACTACCCAAGCACCAGGCACTGAGCTAGCACCCTCCATGTCACATCTCCCTGACCTCTGGCCACTGCCTAAGGCCACCGTCCTCCCCACAGGAGCCAAAATAGACTGGTGAGGTCAAGACCCTGGCCCAAAGTCACAGAGCCAGCAGAGGGGCAGGGATGGGCTGGGAAGCCAGGGCTCTCCCTAAGCCAGCATTTTCCTTTGCCTCCTGGTTGGGGCAGAAGAGGGGCCCAGGCAAGCTTCTCGGAGGTGAAATGGGAGCAAACCAAACCCGTTCCCCCAACTCCCCGCTCCTAACCCGCCCACGTAGCAGCAAGCACAATACTTCCCACACTGCATTTACGGAAAATTACAGCCTGCTGACGTGGCTGACGTGCTAACAGTGCTGGGGGCTTGAGGGAGGGAGACGGGCATGCTGAGGGCTTTGCTCTCCGGGCCTTTACCAAACCCGTGGTTAGCGGGGAAACGATACATCCCTGGCGCCTAGCCCGTCATCTTCTAGAGACGGCCATTAACTCTGGCGATGGCTGCGCGTGGTGCTGGCCCTCAGAGCGGATGCACTCGCTGCCACTGCGCTAACAAGAACCTACAGGCTGACCTCAGCCCAGTGGGTATCTATGGTGCACAGCGGTCACTAGGGCAGGCGGAGAGGAGTGCACGCGCCGGCCATTAGGAGCCTGAGGGACACCAGGGAAAGCCATAGCCGGCAAGAGAACAGCCAGAGATTCAAATGGACCCCATGGTCTCTGATCCAACTTGACTTCTTCTAAGAATATGGTGTGACTCGTTAAAGGGATAAAGGGTCAAAATGACAGGGAAAGCCCTCTCCCGCTCTAGTCCATCCCAGTAGGGGAGGACGTGAAGGCAAACAGGCCTGCACAGCTGGCGCGGGTTCACCTGGTCTCCGGGAACCCTGGGAAGCCAGGAGCAGAAGCAGCTTCCTGGCTGGCAAGCCTGGGGCTCCGCCTGTGACAGGACCCTTGAGCTCTGTGTGGAGGACTGAGGAGGACTGATCCAGGGCTGGGCATGGTCTGATGAGGAGGACCTCTCTCTCCAATCAGATCCCGGGGAGGTACCTAACCCTCAAAACTCATCACCTCCCCCCCACCCCCCCGGGAGGCTTCCCGCAGGTGATGGGTGGAAGAGATGGGAAATCCCTGTCACCCCCCAGGTGGCCACCCTGAGCAGTGGAGGGACCAATCATTACCAAGGGAGGCCACACAGCAGGTAAGAGACCTACTGGCCACACAACCTGCCCTGTCGCCGCGGCGCCACGGCCTGGAGGCCACGCGGAGAAGCCTACCTGGTGGAGAAGCTGCATCTGGCCTGGCTCTACAGCGAGCCTTTCGTTGGTGCTCAGCTCGACTAGCGCCTGCCTGAGAGGGCTGCTGCTTGGCGGGAAACAGGCTGGTGGAGCGGCCCCCTGCCCAGCCGGGGCCAGGGCCAGGGCCCCCTCCTGCGGATGCTCCAGCTGCTCTGGTCCCCAAGCCAGAAACCTGGAGTCTCTCTCCAGGGCTCTGATGGCCTCATGCTCCCCCACACTAGACAGCCGGGAAGACGGGGCCGCCATGCCGCCGACCACGCTGGCGAGGTCTTTGCACGGCCTTTCCTGCATGCTCTCGGGCAGCCCCAGGCCCTCCAGCCTCCGGGAGATCTTGGCCATCTGCAGGATGTGCTGGTAGAACCTCTGGTCCTCAGAGTAGTCTTCGCTCTCTGACTGCTCCTCAGCAGAGCTCTGCAGGCGGAGCCACTGGGGCACCGGGAAGGGGCCGGAGGGCAGCCCTCTGGGCCCGGGGCCTGACTGACCCCCGCCCCGCCCGGACCCCTGGGAGCTCTGCAGGTCCCACGGGAAGTTATTCACTTCGCCCATGACCTGAGAGCCGAGGGGAGAGGCCAGGCCACTGCTGCCGCTGCTCTCTAGGTCAGGCCCACACTCACTGGGCCTCCTGTCTTCTTCGGGGGGCTCTGGGCACACTAGGGGCCGTCTCCTCTCTCTGGCACTCCCTGAAGGGGCGCTCTGGGCTGGCTCTGATGCCGGAGTGTCAGGTGGTATCTGGAAGAGCCCCTGGCATGGATCTCCCGCCGAGGCCCCGAGATCCCCAGGGTCAGTGGGCACTGCTTCCTTGCAGCTCCCGGGGCCGTCCTTGTCGACAAGCTTGGAGACCTGTCCCATCCACAGTCCCGGGGGCTCTCGCCTCCTCCTTCCCCAGCCCACACCCGCCCCTTCCCCAGAAACACCCTGCCAGCGCAGGCCTTCAGCGGGGCCACTGTCCAACAAGAGCAGCTGGTACTGCCTGCCGGGCAGCATCTGGTCCGAAGAACAAGGGGACAGCGAGGGGTCCCCCTCGGAGGACGTGGAGGAAATGGGGCTCTGGCCCTTGTCCCCCGCAGGGCCAGTGCTGTGCTGCACCCCTGTCAGCTGTGGGCCCTTGCTGGTTTCAGAGAGCCTGGAGCGCATGGAGGCCTGGCTCCTGCTTTTTAACACCTCCTGCCCGTGCTGGAGGGGCCTGCTGTCCTCGGGGCCCAGAGCGCCGAGTTTGGTCCTCATCTCCAGCTCTTCTATCTCAGGGTCTGAAAACCCCAGGTAGATTTTCTCAGCCAGCTTCTGGCGTTTCTCCAGACCCTGCTGATCACCTAATTCTGTCCTGCACTGGGCTGGGGCCCTGCCTAAGATCTTCTCCATGTCAGCAAAGAGCTGGTGGGTTCGGGAAGCGTGGCCTCTGGAGAGCGGCTGCAGTTTGCTGGGCGGGGTGCCCAGGAGGGCCCAGGGGGTGTCCCCCAGCATGCATGGACTCTTCCCTCTCTGAAAGGAGCCCTCATTTCTAGCCTGCGTGTCCTGGTCTAGATCCAGATCAGCAAGCCCAGGTGGGAGAGAGGAGGAGGAAGGCAGAAGTCCCTGCTCAGGCGGTGTGTCCTAGATGGATATAGAAACATGCAGAGGACACTAAGACAGAGCCCTCTGGGTTCACACCTGCCACCTCAGCCCGTGGCAAGCCCTCAGCAGAGACCCACGTCCACGTAAAGTAAAACGAAGCCCAAAGAGGGAAGGGAGCTCAAAGCTCCCTGGGCTTTGTTTTCTGGCCCCCGTTTCCTTTCCATAGAGAGGAGGCTAGACTAGGCCCATGGCTTACGAACCCCACAGGCCGGTTCCATGTGGCACCCTGGGGGCGCTACAGGGACATGCGATGAGGAAGGGGCATCCCCAAGACCCACAGCCCGGGTGCCATCACAGGCACCGCGTCCTCTCTACCCTGGACTCCAGAGGAGCTGACCCGAGACAGTCTCCACCACTAACCAAGCCTGAAAATTGCCAGCCAGACCAGCCTAAGGTACCATCACGCTCTCAGCCCGGTGGCTGGTTAACTCTAGGAAACCCACCAACCTCCTCCGGCCCTGCCAGCATGAGCTAGGAAGGGAGAGGCGAAGGGAGCCTGCTGGGAGCCGCGCCCTGAAGCACAGCCTCGTCTTCTACCGAAGGCAGAGCTGGTGCCGCCAAGAGAGGGCCTGGCAGTGAGAGTGCGGGGCAGGAAGACATCCTGGAAGAGCCACCAGCCTGCAGGCACTCACAGGCAACTCCACCCGGCCTGTCTCAGAACCGTGCGCAGTGACAGGAATGATGAGGGTAAGCTCGTGAGCCACCACCAATGCCAGACTGGCCTTGGGAGGGACGGCAGGTGGGAAGCCTTCCCCGGAGGAGGCGCGGGTGGGAATGAAGACTATAAACAAAAGGGCAAGTAATGGACCTGACAAGGTTGGTAGGCCCCGTGCTCCTGCCCACCGACCCGCGCTCCCCGCAGCCTGCCGCCTGCCCGCGCCTGAGTGAAGGGAAGGAGGCAGCTTCCCTGCCCTGCCACCGCCACGGCCACGGCCACGGCTGCTGGGAGTGCCCGGCCTCCTCAGTACAGCTCCCACTCTGTACTTCTCTGCCTATAAAATGAGGCGATGACGCTACCTCCTGAAGGCAGACATACTGAAGGGACAAATAAAGCAAAAATGGAAAAAGCACCTTCAAATCTGAGCACAACAGCCACTGGAGACCACGGTTATCCCACTGCAGTCACATTTCAGTTACTCGTCCCTAACCTAGGACCCTGGCAGCACAGCCCCCGGAAGTGGAGAAAGCCCTACAGCTTTTCTCAGGGACCTGGCAAGCACTGGTGCTCTGACAGCTCAATGTGGTTCATCTGATGTCCAGGATCCTACCACTGAGACACACACGGGCTCACCCAGGCTCCCTGGCCTCTGCCAGCTGCTCTCTGTGCCCCTCTCCGGGGGGCGGATGGCAACACTTCTCTCAGTATTCCTGCAAACCACCCTCCTCAGCCCGGCACTCTCCCGTCAATCCTCCTCTGTAATATGTGCTTCCCAAGGGGGAGAGGGAATTGTTTAAAAACAGTAACAACTTCAGAAGCTGAAAGAAAAAGTGCCAGAAGACTGGCACACTCTGGAGGATGTACCATCGAGAAATGACTATCAATCGTTACTCCTCACCTCCCAGCTGCACACACCTAGCGGTTCCCCGTATCACCTCAGTGGAAGCCCTGGCCCCTCTGAGCTGGCGTCCACTGGCTCACCATGGCGTTTCTGGGGGTCTCTTTGTCCTTCTTGTCTTTCTTTTCCTTTTTCTTCTTCTTGTCTTTCTTCTTAACGGCCCCAGAAGATGACAGCTTCCCTCGTTCCTGGATCACCAAGTTCCGATAATGCCCATCGCATGGATGGTCCCACGTGGACTGCCCATTGGCAAAGTTAAAATAGTAAATATCACCTGTGATGTCCTGGCTGGGGATGAGCAGAGGCCAGCAGTTAGTCCCTACTCAAGTCCAAAGCTATTTAGGGAAAAAAGTAGGAGAAAAATGATGAGGAGGCAGAGGAGGAGGAATTGGGTGAAAGGGAAAGGAGAGAGCAGACAGAAGGAGAGAGGAAAACAGAAAAAGATAACACCAGGCTGGAGGGTAGCATTTAGCTAAGAAGGAAGGAGTTAACTTAGATAGGAACACAGGCTGGGAGCCTAGATGGAGCTGTAAAATCACTGAGGCTCCTGGGAATTCATGCTAGACTGGTGTAGGAATAAACTTGGTTTGAGATAGTTAAGTACAAATACTATGGTATACTGGTGGTAAAATCTAGGATAGACCTTGCTTAACATTTTTATAAACGGTCGGAGGAAGAGAGACACATTGTGAAAGCTCTGGTTTTATAAAAGCCTCCAAACGCATAAGAGGTGACAGTCTAAGCCAGTGGAATCAGCAACAGAAGAAATAATGCAGAAGGTGGGTTTCAAGAATTTGAACTACACCATGGACAAGTCCAAAATGCTGCAGCCATTTACCCTACCCATCGTTATCAATCATCCATTCAAATGACAGGAAAAACAGCATTCGCAACAGCAAGATAAAAAATGTAATGTCCGGGGGTGCGTCCCAGTGCAGAGGCTTTATAAAGCTTTCCCGAAACGCCCGGAAAAGGAGGAAAATGAGAGCGAGACTCCATGTTCCTGAATAAACAGATTCAAGTCTGTAAACAAGCCAATCATCCTCTAATCCATGTGATCCCAGTGGAACCCCTATCCGGCTCCTTATGAAACCTGACAACTCAATCTCTACTCAAATAAGATAGAAAATACACAGCAGTAAGAGGGGAAACATCAGGGGTACTTAGTATCAGGGTTATGTATAAAAAGCAGCTATACAAATGGCCACACAGAAAGATGCTCAACATCACTCAGCATTGGAGAAGCAAAAGTTAAAACAACAATAAAATACCCCTCCACACCCATTAGCATGACTAGTATCAAAAAAGCAGAAAATAACAAGTATTGACAAGGATGCAGAGAAACTGAAACCCTGTGCTCTGTTCGTGAGAATGTAAATTGTCCAGACACTGTGGAAAACAATATGGCAGGTCCTCAAAAATTGAAAATAGAGCTCGGCCAGCATGGTCGGAGGTTGAGCATCAACCTATGAACCATGAAGTCACGGTTCAATTCCCAGTCAGGGCACATGCCCGGGCTGTGGGCTCAATCCCTGGTGTGGAGTGTGTAAGAGGCAGCCAGTAAAACATTCTCTCATTGTTGATGTTTCTCTCTCTCTTCCTCTCCCTTCCTCTCTGAAATCAATAAAAAAAATATTTTTAATTGAAAACAGAATTACCATATGACCCAAAAATTCAACCTCTGGGTATATACCCAAAAGAACGGAATGCAGGATTCAAACAGACATTTGTATACAGGCCCTGGGAACTTGGGTTTTAATGCCAATGTTCACAGCAGCATCCTATCTAATAATAGACAAACATGGTAATTAACCATACCTCCGACACGCTTTCCATGGGCTAATCAGGGCAATATGCAAATTAACTGCCAACCAAGATGGTGGCTGGGAGCCAGGCAGCTGAAGCAAACAGGAGGCTTGCTTGCTCCAGTGATGGAGGAAGCCAAGGTTCCCCGCCTG